TTAAACATCGCTGGATTCTTTTTTGTGAAGTTATGTGAAGTCACTTGTCTTCGCAGATACGATCGAGATGATGTTTTCCAAAAAAATGTTCGAAAATTGGCCGTCCGACTGGAACGGGCCAGCTGCAGCTATTTCTTTTTCGAAAGTATTTTTAAAACAAAATAGCGAACCTTTGTTTTTATAATAAAGCTAAATTCTTGGTCCTTGTATTGAGATGTAAGCTTTTTATTTCTTTATTTAAGGACCACATATATAAAATTGTTGCTTTTGTAACAGAATGAAGTCCTTATTGATAACAAGGGCGAAATGGAATTATTACTTTTAGTTAGCTTGTCACAAAACCTTGCTACCCACTAAATCGGCTGTGCGAAAAAACTTTGCAAGTGGAACAGCACTTTTCCAAACCTTCCTATTTTTGAACCTAAGACGTAAATGCACGTATTGCTTTATATTTACCTGACGAATAAACTTTTGGTTCATACGTTATATTACTGTAAGCCGCACGACCTACTCTATTTTATTTCAATATTAAAAAATATTTTTGGTTTCAAATTTATCACGTACCTTTAGTGCTTTTACCATTAAACTATTGTTCAACTTACTCCCCTCTGTTCGCTGCTACACCTATACTATATATCAAATCTTAAATATTGAACATTGACTAACTAGAAAAAACAAAAACAGAAAAGGATGGAAAATAGTGATAAAGTATTTATATGTAACTACATGTGTTTTCAATTTTGACGACATCCATCAGTCTGCGAGTACAAAAAAATGCAATTGGAGCAACTAACTTTGGTTCGTGAACGAGTATCTACATGGCGCTTGCCACAAAACGTAAATGCACATATAAAGTATATATGTAGCTATTCCTAGTAAATCTTTACTATTCCTGCCTCTAAATTTACGTCACCAACAGACTTGTATGTGACCATTGTGACAATTGAGTTGTGCTAAAATTTAATTGCTTTCGAAGAGATGGATCGGTCAGTGAATAATATTTGCTAATTTTATGTACGCCTTTGGTTTTTAAATATAATAGAATAATGCACGAATAAAAGAAATTAAAGAAAAATAAAAAAGTAAAATAGAATTGATAAAAATGAAAAAAAAAATTGAATTCTAAAAAAACACACGTGTATAAAATAAAATTAAAAAAATGAAATGAAATAAAATATATTAACATAAAATCAAATAACACAGAATAAAAAGAATTAAGACAAAAACAATAAAAAATAAAATAATATTAATTAAATGAAATCAAATAATATAGAATAAAATAAAATAAAATAATATAAAAAAACAAATTAAAATAGAATAAATTAAGAAAAAAATAATATATTAAAAAATTAAAAAAAAAAAATAAAATAAAATAAAATAAAATGAAATGAAATAAAATAAAATAAAATAAAATAAAATAAAATAAAATAAAATAAAATAAAATAAAATAAAATAAAATAAAATAAAATAAAATAACATAAAATAAAAGGAATTAAGAAAACAATAAAAAAATAAAAAATAATTAATTAAAATGAAAAAAATTAAATTAAAAATATGCCCACGTATATAAAATAAAATCAAAAAATTATTAAATGAAATAAAAAAATATAGAATAAAATAATATAATATAAAATCCAATAATATAAAAAAATAAATTAAAATAGAATAAATTAAGAAAAAAAAAATTATATATTAGAAAATTAAAATAAATTAAATAAAATAAAGTAAAATGAAATTACATAATATAAACCAGAATAAAATGAAATGAAATAAAATAAAACAAAATAAGATAAAATTTAATTAAATAAAATGAATTAAATAAAAAATTAAATAAATTAAAATGGAATAAAATGAATTGACATTAAATAAAGTAGAATAAAATAAAACAAATTAAAAAGAAATAAATAAACAAAAAAAATAAAACAACATAAAGTAAAATATAATAAAATAAAATAAACTAAAATAAAATAAAAATATGAAATAAAATTAATTAAAAAAATAAAACTTAATAAAATAAAGTTTAATTAATTTAAACAAAATAATATAATATAATAAAAAAGAAAATAAAATCGCTCATGCCATTTTATAAGAGTCAACCGCCACAAGTTGTTGTTGAACAATGAGCAAAACCCACAATTGCAACACCTTCTGCATTAATTATTTAAGCAAGTCTGGTAGTGGCGCTACTATCTCGTTTCCGACTGTAATCATTTTTATTGTGAAGAAGAATATACATTTGTACATATAATGTTATTAAACATCGGATCAAAGGCATATGATTTTTTAAGTAAATATGTAGGCATCTAAGCATTGGTCTTCAATTAATTTAATTTAACTTTTATGTATTTTAAATTTTTGAAAAAAGAGCATTTTTATGTGCATATATGTAGTTTTATGAATATCTTTTAATGTATTACATCTTTGACGCAATTAGTTTACCAGTTACACAAGTTAAGCGTACTCCAGCTACCAAGCGAATTACTCATCTTGTGAGTGAGTGTAAACATTAATATGGCGCGTCCATATTCGTCATGTAATTAGTATGCTTTTGCTTGACTACATATGCAAATAAAAACATTAGGGCTCTGCATTTTTTTAATATGTACATATATAAGTATGAAACCAGTTTATGTAGTGAAAGAGTGAGTGTGAGGTTGTTTCACAATAAATTGCTATTAATTTAGTTTTCGACTGCTTCGCCTTGTCTTATTTGTCAGGCAAAAAAATTCAGTTAAAAATTCTTTGTGGCAGTAAATTTAAATTAGTTTTAGTTTTGTTTTTTTGGCGTCTGAAAAAAATTAAAAAAAATTCATTTAAAATAAAAGTATGGAAATTTTGTTTTCAATCCTTACATATCTGCAGAGTTTTCACTAAAATAAACCTTTTGAAAGAGGCGGCTATTTAATATGTATCAGTTTCGGTTTCCATGTAGATCGTTGCAGCGTTGCAATTTTGCTTGCTTTCATACGCTTCTGTAATTCGCTGCTTGCCCACTCACTTTCGCAGCAAGTGTACTTATGTAGTGGCACTCGTGTCATACAAACAATGTGGCAAGTGTAACTAACATATAAACATTGAAACATACAGTACAGCAAACACCAACAAACAAATACCAGAGCAGACTGACTTTTACTTGCACACTCATAAGTACTCACAAGTTCAAGAACAAGTGCGCTAAGCACTCGAGTGAAACGCTGCAGCGAACAAAATGTGTATGAGATGGGCTAGAACTTGCTGCTTGGAAAGAATTAAATTAGAAGAAACCGAATTTAAATGTTGGATGCGAGTTCAGATGATAAAATAATTTTTAGTTGCTAAAAAACTGGGCATAAACATCAATTTTAGTATTTCCTAGTATTTCTTCGTAATTCCATTCTAAAACGAAGGAACTCAGAAACAACGAAAAAAGGAATGTAGCAACATTAGGGGGATTTACAGAGAGTTATGTATGACAAAGACATGCTGGCGGTAGCATTTTGATAATTAATTCAGATCGTTTTTCTCATGTTTAACAAAAAGCACTGATTACTCAGAGTTTGGTTCTTTGCTTCGAAGACAGATCTTCACAACTTTGACTTTAAGAGCTCTTTTTATGAAACATTTATGCAAACCATCAGTTATTCCTTTGCGTTTGGTCAGTAAAAGTAATAGAAAAATATGAATTATTCTTTCGCCTCTAAAATAGAACCCTCTTCAAATTAAACACTTATGCGTAGTAATAATATAATCCACTCATCAAAATAGTTTGTCATCGCATTTTCTAAAATCCGCTGTAGTTCTCGTCACGCAAATTTGTTTAGGTCTTTTATGATCTCAGAACGAATACCTCAAAGTGGTAATTTGAGATTTGGAGAGATAAAAAAGTTCGTCGGTGCCATTTCAGGTGAATACTCTGGTACTTTGATGCTATAGTTGAAGTTGTTAACTAAATTCGTTGGCAATGGGAGTAACTATTTTCGACGAGTTTGCTTTCTCAAGCGGCGCATAACGCGCATATAGCATTTAACCGTCGGATCGTGTGCCAATTCCAAAGCTTTTTGATGTTATGCTCAGAGGTCATCACCTTCGAAACTAATTACCAATATCTCCAACCAATATCTCTTGTTAGCCTCAATTCCATGCCTTTGTTCAGTTAGTTAAAGAGGCTGCTCTTTCATGGAGCCGGACCGGATGTGAACTCAGGTCTGCTAGTCGGTTTTGATGTGTTTAGATTGACTCCAGCTTGGTTGAGGTAAGCGAAATAGATAGAGAGCAATATGGTAGTAGTCGATCCCATTTCCGATGCGAGAACTAAGACGGTATGCCAACACGAAAACAGGCTCCCCATTCATATCTAATTTGATGATCACCGACATACTGACGTAATATTGCACGAGTTTTACAATACATTTACGAAGGTTTTGTCTCCTTAAAAAACAGCTAAGCATTTCAGGGAAGAATAGTTTACAAATTATCGGGATTAAACAATCAGAACCATTAATATAATTTTTCCAAATTGATTCGTGTCAGGTTCACTACTCTTGTTAATCTGTGCGATTTTCAAAAAATCGAATTCTAAATAAGATTTTTCTCTGGTTCACTTTACGGAATAAAGTATTTTTTTTTTTTGTGGAAACCTTCTCCAAATAAATGCAAATAACGTATTAGGTCATCTATTGGGTTGAACCATGCAAATCTGGACTGTTGTGACTGGTCCACTTGAATGCTCGTAGCAAAAAATTCATTTGAAATTATCAGCTTCCAAAAACTTTCACTAACTCACGTTTTGTACATAATAATGTCTTCCACTAATAAATTTCGAGCAGAAAAAAAAAAAACAAACAGAAATACAAAAAATTAATAACATTTCTTCTTGTTTGCTTAAATTGCTTTTTCATAGAATTTCCGCATTCGCATTAAACCCATAACTCATTTATTATAATTATATATGTAGGTGTGGTAAATATGTATATAAATATATAAATAGCAAGTAATTATAACCTTCATTTGTTTGTACTTACCTTCATTTGCGGACATGGCCAAATGAGTACTGTTTTATTATAATCGCGTGACAGCTGCTCAGCCAACTGACAGTAGGCGACAAGTGGCGAATTACTTGACGTTGATGACTTTCTCATTTCGCCAGCCTTGAAGGAAGTCACTGTTGCATTATTAATATATGTTGGTGTTACTGATTGCTGCTGTTGATGTGCTTGTCTTCGTTGACTTTGTCTTGCTTCTGTTTCTGTTATTACAGTTTCTGCTGCTGTTGATGCGTCCGCGACCGTTGCTTCGCCATTCCACGGCAACTCATCGGCGGCGAAATTAATCCCGGCATTTAAGGTTTTCACCACAGTGGTATATTTCGGATGTTCGAGGAATTTAATGAAGCCACTTAAATCTGCGTTATTTATGCGTGTTTAAGTGTTGTAACATGGAGAACGAGTGAGAATGGGCGAGATGTGGCGGAGAAAGTAAATATAAAAATATATATTAAAATATATATATACTCGTATAGATGTATATAGTTAATGCAAAATTCTTTTAAAGGTGAAACATGTTCTTAAAAAGAGCCGACCAGGGAAATGCTGAAATACGGCTTGAGGAAGGTTTCAAAACCGGAACATACCCTTGTAGTACAAAAGAGGTGATCTAGCAACCGATACCCAGAGTATACTAAATTTATGGGTGGAACATTTCTTCAGCCTGCTGAATGGCAGTAAAAGCGCAACGCCAAGTGATGGCGAACCCAATTCCCCAAACGATGATGCCCGACAACAAGGAAGTAGAACAGCAATCGCTCGCTTGAAAAGCAACAAAGGGACGGGCCGATGTATTCCCGTGTGAGTTATTGAAATACGGCGATGAAGAACTGTTAAGGTGCATGCATCAGCTTTTTTGCAAACTAGGGTTGAATGAAAGCAAGCACGACGATTGGAACCTAAGTGTGCTCTGACCAATCCACAAAAAAGACAATCCCACAGTATGCCCCAATGACCGTGGGATGAGCCTCCTTAATATCGCGTATAAGGCCCTATTTAGCGTATTTTTTGAAATACTAAAACCCAACGAACGTAATAAACTGCTTGAACCTTATCCGTGTGGTCCCCGAACGGCTGATAATTTTTTATGAGACGCCTTTAATTCATGTCAGAAATTTACTCGGAAGGGTTCAGATTTCCTTTTCAGAGGCGATCGCATTCTCTAATTTTGGCTTTCCGTATGACAGTCTGCATTACTAACCACTCGATAATTGTGCATGTAATTGTAAACAAAAAGCAACCGAGTCATGAAATTTTAAGAGCGTCAAATATCAAAATTGAATAAATTGGCCTATGGTACAGTTCACGAGAGCAAAAATAGTACTCGCATTAAGCTAAGCGCGAAGCTAACTACGAAACGAATTTAAAAAAATCGAACTAAAAATAAAATTTTCCGAATGGGTCGGTCCCTGGTCCAGTGCTCGTTTCTTTATTCCATGGGTCCAGGGGTTCTTGAGTTATAAGCGTAGTTACTCACGAACTGTCTTTAATATATGCATACTATGTGTGTTGATACGCAAATGTAAATCTTATATTTCTTGTCAGCATCCACAGCAAAATGTGAAAAAGATACTAAAAATTTGTTTTATAATTCAATTTTATGCAGGGAAATGGCGCGTGTGCTAGCAAATACAGGAAGATTGTATGAAGCGAAATATAGAGAGCCACGTGCAAAACCGATTGAATTTCTTAAAAAAAAAGTACTTTCTGGAAAATGCTTCAGCATCATCGCAATGCCGTACAAACTGTCGTACATACGTGTATGTGTATTTACTAAAACAATTACATTCGCTTATATGCATTTAACAGTTATACGAGTATGTAATGCGAAATGAAATTCAATGTCACGTTATATTCAAAGCACTGTTAGTTGCTGCCATCCTTTCGTGTGTCAACCATGCCGGTATGCATGCATGTGCATATCAAATAACGGTTAATGAAAATTGAATCTGTTGCGCATAAATTCTATTTACACATATGCATGTATATACGTATGTATGTAGGTAAATATGCAATTCAATTTATTTGCAATTCATATGACAAATAGTGCTTTATGGCTGGGTGTTAGTGGGTGTGCAGCATGTGGTTGGGGGTACGGTTACATAAGAAAATTCTCAATTTGGTTCCATTTGAGCTCGTTGTAATGGTTCTAACGGAGTAAAAATCTAAGTGTATATAACAGTATATAGATTTTGTTTTCTGGGAAATAACTTGGCTCATTACCATGTGAATGGCGTGGAAGCAAATTGACTGCGTTGTGGCTGATAAAAGGTGATGAATGCTTCGAATCTAATAGTTAACGGAATAATTTTTTCTCATTCCGGGGCTGTAAAGCTGATGGTTGTTAAGTAATAACACGTTTATATATAACAGTTATAAGGCAGACATAAATTACTAATGGTAGTCCCTCGAGTTTTGGAATTTATTCGGTGAGTTGACGCACTAATATATCAATCATTTTTGAATCCGTCAAATATGCACAAGAGAATTATTATTCGTGGAATGAATAACATACCCAAAGCCAAGGGATACGTTAAATATTCATTAAGAGACTTACAATATGAATACTCCTCGGCTGCCTCACTGTTCGTTGGCGAATCTCAAATATCCATACATTTCAAGAAAACAACTTTTCAGGGTAGTGTTCTTCTACCGGAGTTCTGAAATCGTACGATTAACTAGTTTCTATTGAGTTCGCTTCATTCTGAGCAAGAAGCTGAACTAGAGAGAGTCTCCACTGATTTTCCAATGCTCCTGGAAGAGCTATTGGGGAAAAATTTAGTTTAATATATGTATATATATAACTGCGAACAGAAGCCTACCATGTAATTGGCAAGATTTAAAGTACTGCATAGTATACGATACTCCGGTTAGAGCTATTAAAATATTCATAGGGTGTTCTAAACTTGATAACAGAACGAGAGAAGGTTTTTCTTGTCTCCTGAAACCCTAAAATGGAACTTATATTGAAGCAACCAGACCAATCCAATGTGATCTAGATTATCGTGGATGCTATAAAAAATATTGAAATCGGTTATAATTAATAAGTTCAGTCCCAATAAATTCATAAATCGTGCTGTACGGTCTCACTCACAGATCACTTTGGATGCCTGGGCATAGATATTGCAGTGCACTTAACCACTAGTTAACCAAGGTAGGACTAAAAATTACTTCCGCATAAAGGAAGAATTTTTTTTGTTGACGAGGACGAACACCACATTTCCCCCTCCCGCTCATCTGATTAAGTGGTGCGCCTTGAAAAATCAAACAGGCTGGTGACCGAATACCAGTAACTTGCCACTAAACAGCTACAGATTTGCCCAGCTACTGCCATGAAAAAAGGAGAATGGAATTACTCATTTTTTTAAAGCTCTCAGTAAGAAGTTTTTTATGAGTTTTTTATGAGTTTTTTATACAGAAAAGAAAGACGGAGAATTCATTACTGAGCAAAATATTAGAAAGATTTCTTAGAGACGCACTTATATTTGCACTTGGTATACCTTCAAGCTGTAGTCGCCTGTCACAAACATAAGCGTTTACCGAAAAGGCTATAATTCTTATATTCACTTAAAAAAATGGTGACCAAATTATATTCAAGGCTTGTACCCTATTTTAAGAAATTTTTTTGTTTTCATTTCTGCCAAAGTAGAAATTCAACATGCATAAATGAACTAGTATTTAACTAGTATGAAGCTGATATAATGTGGAAAATTTGTTGTTTTGTAGCGCATCGCCATGTTAGAAATACCAAATGCTGATGGAAGAATTGGTCAGCGTAAAATTGTAGCAGTAGAATTTAAGTTAACAACTATCGCCTTCTTCTGAACGCAGGATAAGTGCAAAAACATTACATAAATAAATGTAAATAGTTGTCGCCTTTTCACCGCTGAAGCAATTTTCAGCCCAGCTTCTCTTCCCTTTTGGGATTCTTGCGTTTAATAAACCACCGCCGAAAGGCCTACAGTATATTTGAAGAGTTTTGTATTTCGGATATACGCGCGGATGGATCGGGATAGCCTGCCAAAGGGCGACCGCAATTATAAAAACTATTTTTCTGCAATTTTGGATATTAATCGAACCAGAACTCAAAGCCAATCCTTCGGTATGTCCCTAAAGATTCGTTAGCAATTTGAATTTCTCTTCTTACTTAAACTCTCTGTCATCGCTTTAATAATATTTAATAATATTTATTCAAAGATAAGCCAATGTGTATAACAATTCGTCAAAGACTTACCATCATCACGTATAAAATCGACACTGACATTCTGCAGATTGACGTGAAAGAATTCCAGAAAAATGTGAAAACCCAGCTGTACTTGCGATACGTCCAATATGCGTGATGGAATTAAAACGCCGACGCTTTTTTCTCGTCCATTGGAGTGCTGTTGTTGTTTTCGTGTACGCTTTGTCTGCTGCAAAGGTGACACGTGCGGAATATCCTGTTGCAGCTGCTCATCTGCCTCTGGCTGTTTTATGTGGTTTTGTTGTTGTGGCTGTTCGTTTCGTGCTGGTAGTGGCTTTATATTGAGCAATTGTTGTGCATCACCTTGCTGATTATGACGTTGTTGTAGTTTTTTGGTTTGTATTTGTATCTGTTGCCGCGCTTGCTCGAGTGCCACTTCAAGTGGCTTTTGTGCGGTCTCTTGTTGTGCGCTGTTTTGTACTTTTACTTCGCGTTTTTCGCTTTTCACATCTTTACTTGAGTTTTGCTGGTATTTCTCTCGTTGTTGTTCATGCTGCTGTTGTTGTTGCTGTATTTTCTGTTTTGATTCCCGCTGTTCTAACTGTTGCTTTGACATTTTGGCCGCAAACTTTTCCAACTTCTTCTTTTCGGTGCCTAGAAGTGTACTCGAGTGTTCTGTCGCCGAACTCGATGCTGATTGGGCTATTGCTGTTGTTTTTGTTACTATTATTGGCAGCCGTATAGTATCGAATTGCTGTCGCGGTTGATGCGCTGGCTCTGCTTGGTAGTATTGCTGCCTGTGCGGCTGTTGCACTTGTTGCTCTGTACTTTTCTCTGCTGACTGTTGTGTATGCGTTGTTGTTGTCTCTGTTGTTGTTGCGATATAAATTTCAGCAACATGTTTTCCAATTTTGATTTTTCCAATACTTTCGTCTTTCGTTGTTGCCCCCACAAGTACTGCAGGTTTAGTTTTGGAGATTTTGTTCAATTTTGTTGCTCTTATTGTTGTAATTAATTTGTGGTCTAAGTGCGCTGTTGTCTGGTTTTGTGTTGCTTGTGCGCTTGCTCTCTCAGCTTGAGGTTTTTGCAAGTCAGCTGTCTCCAATGTGAGGTTCAAATTTTCGCTAGCATTTTGTCTAATGGTTGTTGCATGCAACAAATCGTTAAGTTTCGTCGTGTTGTCTCTTAGTATCGTGTTAGCGTTTCCAGAGACAACAACGCCTAGCTTGTTTACCTCTTTAATTGCTGAGCGCTGCTGAATCTCTTGTTGCTGCCTTTTCTCATTAACGGCAATGTCAACGTTGCTCCCGCAGTTATTAACACTTTCCTTATTGTTGTTGTTGGTCCTGCAATCCACGGCAACAATCACCGCTTGGACAGCTGTTACGTTTGAATTTGCTGTGGTCTGTCTTTTTCCTGTTATTTTCGTCGCTGATGTCAGCTCACCAGCAGCTGCTGCTGCATTCAAAGCACTTCCACTGCGCTCAATGGCAACTTCTTCTTCTTCTTTTGCGGCACAAAGCACGCCCATCAATGGTCGGGAGTCGAGGAGTAGGAAGAAAGCTGTCAGCAGCAGAAAAAATTTACCAATTTGACAATATGTTAACTTCATTTAGGCGATAACACCGTCTATGGGCGCTTCTTCGGTACGTGTGCGAGCGTGTGTGTGTTAAGCGCTTTTAATGGTTCTTAATTAATTTATTAATATTATAATTCCTTTCAAATTTTTTATTTTATTTAATTATTTTAACAGGTGTGTATTTCTGTAAAATATTTGCTTAATTATCGATCTATTCGCTATGCGCCTGTATCTATGCAATGAAAATACGCTTCAATGCAATTGTGCTTCCGCTTATTGAAGGCGTCATCATTGGTGCCAGCGGCAAAGTAAACCGTGAATTTCCACATTAGAAAATAATTTTATATTGAACACCTTTGACTCATTAATCTGAAAAATTGAAAAAAAATTTATATATATTAATATTTATTATTACTTTTTAATTAATATATATGTATATTTATTTAGTTAGTAGAAAAATAATACAAATTAAACTATTTTATAAATGTAGGAATGGGAAAGAAATCCAGACTATTTTGAATTACATTATTCGATACTCTGCTGATATTGATATTAAACGAACAGTAGTTTAACGATGTAGTTTCACAGAAAGTAGTGGAAAATGAACAATGTGAACCCATATAAGTATTTTTTAGTAAATGTTAAGACTTACTATAATTCATTTAGAAAGATCAACTTTTCCGACAAATTTCTTAAACATTTAATTCTTACTAAACAAGACTTTAATCCCAATATAGGTTCCATACATACCAAGTAAGGCTGAGTTATATTAAATAATGCCTTAAATATTGGATCTTCAATTAAGCGAGGGAGGGAGAGTACAAAACTTGCTCATATTCATATCGCGCACGTACTAGCTAATGGGATTTAAAGTATCAAGCTTCTTTGTTCTAGTTACCGGGATAAGCTTTTTGATCTAAAAATTGCAGATACTATGCCAATCCACTTTATTTTAAACTCATATACAGGTATATATATATAATTGGGGCTTTATAACCACAGCAGCGAGAAGCGAGTTTATACTATGCCGCCACCGAACGGCTGATGGGTTTTTGTTGAGAGCTTTGATTTTCATGTCGGAAAGCTTTACTTTTTTCGTTGAGTGGCGACCGCAATTAGAAAAATTAATTAAATTCTTTATTTTGAATGTTTTCTGATCGAGGACTTGAACCTTCTGAATGGAAGTACCTAATTCTAACCACTTGACTATCGCAGCCGCAATTTTATTATATTGCAAATTTACGTTACATGGGGGTCGGCGTGAACTTGGTCCAATTTTACCCATTTGCAATAGCATCCGTTCGGATCATTTCTTGTGCCACCAGAACGAAGTTTGATCAAAATATCTCAAACTTTAATTAAGATGAATGGACAGAAAGAGTTTCAGTCACCATCGGCAGAGAATGTCAAGCCGCTCGAGTGTATTTAAGTAATGAATAAATTCATAAATTATAGGAATACACCAAGACGCATACCACAAATTGAAGGAGGAGCTCAACCAAAGTCCTATAAAGAGGGGAGATCAAGTTTTTCTTATTGGACTCGAGTCCTACTTCGACCAACATAAAAAATGAATTTATCTATTGGCATCGGCCACACGGCTGGGAATAACATCAAGCCCTCGGAGCGTATTTTTGACATAAAATAAAAAACTTTTCATAAAAATCCATCGGCTGTTCGGTGGCGAAAATTGGAGGAAAAGCCCAGCGCGATATCGCTGTTTATTTAGTTTTTTGAAATCAATAGTTATATTACAACCGTTCAAAAAATATTATCGTATTTGAGAAATAGATGTATCAAACATTTTATGAATAAATAACGCGCTTTCAAGCTTCATCGTGTGCTTCAGTTTTAACATGTGTTATTTATTGCAAAATTTGCTTAGAGGCAATAACTTTTTCTCTGTTTTTTGTCGAGTTGCGGAAGTGCTCAGCAACTCAATCATAACGGCACTTGGCCGTCAAGCGTTGGAATGTAAGCAATTGCTCAGAATGTCTACGAAGCTTTTTAAATTAATCATTGGCATATATTTTATGCATATTGTGGTTATATAGGGCTATCCATTTCGCGATTTCAAAAGTACAGTGTTGTATTTTGACAGCTGTCAAACGTAATTGTCAAAGCAAAAATGTTTTGCTTTAGTTAAAAGTCAGGCATTCATGAAACTGGATCGCTTAACAACCGCACAATGCGTTAAATTTGTGAAAACCTACTACGAAAAAAGATATTTCAACTTGCCAAAGTTTCGGACTTCAAGAAGAGGTTAGGGTGGGCTGGTAGCTTGCATGAGTAACTGCAATTGGTAAAATAAAAAAAAAAATATCACCATGAGTGTACCCGAATGGGTCTATGTACCGATGTTCTCAAGAACTGAAATTTTCTTGCAGCACATTTTGCACTTCAGCTTACCTTCACATTAAGCCCAGCTCACACAATTGAAGTCAGCTGACGATTCACAATGCACTTTGAGCACTTGCAAACCAACTTTCGTCAAGACAAAAATTCGAAATTCACGTGGCAGTGATTGGAATGAGTGTTCCACATTTAAAGCCAAGGTTTAAACTTTTTAATGAAGAAGAAATTTGATGAAAAACGTTATATTTAATGCATTTTTTTAATGTTTATTTTTGAACCCTAAAAAGGTCTAACCCTGTATTGTGAACAAGCCTACGGTGAATCAAATCGGCAATATTTCAACCAATTTTTTTTTGCAAAATGTTACCGCTTACCAAGTACCTACAGTGGGAAAGAATAAAAGTTTTTAAATTTCTTTTTTGTCTTTCTTACTTAAATTAGAAAATCTCTTTTTGCTCAAAGTGTTTGAGTTAATTTGTGCACTTATTTGAATAACTAAAGAATAATCGCAGATATGAATGGTTCGTGCTTTTGTTGTAGCATGGCTTGTATATTTATTTTAATTGTTGTTGTTTGAGTTTTCTGCTTTATGCTTTGCAAATTGCAAACGTTGCTCATAAAAGAAATCTGCACAGTATTTGTCTGCGGTTGTCATTAATGGGAAACTCTGCACTGCTTTGCCCGCCTTCGAGTTGCAAGGGGTTTTACGCTTCGATGCTCCTTTGGTTGCCGAGTGTTTATTTTCCCATTTTCCTTGTGCTTTTTTGCATTTTGTTGTTATTATGTTTTTTTTTAACTTGGCATATTTTAATTTCTCTTATTTTTTTTATATATATACATATAAATGTTTCAACGCTCGCTTGTTTCGTTGTTTCGAAGTGTATCCTCCTTTCATCGGTTGGCGAAAGTGAAAGTAAAAGCAGAAGTTGGGCGAAAATTGTGAAAAATGAGCGAAACCAAAATTAAGAATAAGTAAACGTAAATAAAAGTTAAAAAAAAAAAATCGCGCCTAATTTAAGATTCAAATTTGTAGTGAAGTTATTTATTGTGTATAATCTTGTGGTTATTTATGCGCGAAGAATTGCAAAGTAGAGCGCTGCTGAGAGCTTTTTGCCTCTTGCTGCTGCGTTTTACATAACTAAGCCAATTTATTTCGGGAGGTGTAAAGGAGTAGCAGAAAATTGCGATATTTTTCATGTTATTTTACGAGGCTCTTTTGAACTTTTCAGCTGAATAAATTACATTTGCCTTTGAGCAACACACAGCACTTTCACTGCGCCTGTATGTGTGTGTTTACGAGTGAAGTCAGTAAAATAGAATAGAAAATTAAAAAGGTATTATTAAATCTAGCAGCTACACTTTGTTTAACTTATAAAGTCTTCAATTAAATTCTTTTTATTGGTATTTATCCCTTTTTTGGTCCTTTTGAAAGTTGGCCATTAAAAATTTTTTATTAATTATCACAAGCTTTTTATGGCTTCATTTTTCATATAGCGAATAATAAATGTTCACAGGTATTAAATGAAATAAGTTCGCAAATTTTTCACATTATCAGCTTTTTATATAAAGCACGTGATTCTGTTAACTTGTGAAGGGTGATTTTTTAGCTATTATCTTTTTGGCAATAGTGGTTTAAACAGCCGACACACGTATCGTGTTTTGTATCCTTTGTCGAACATCGCGCTATGAAGCTCATTTTTCACTGAACAGGTGCCAGAAGCATTGCAAGAGCTACCAATGCATCCAGAAAAAGTCACAGTTTGGTGCTGTTCAATGGACCGACCTTCTTCAAAGATGATGCGAATCGTATTGTAACTTGAATGGCAAGCGCTACCGTGAGATCATATCAGACTTTTTTTTGCACAAAATGCAAGAGCTTGACATGCATGACATGTGGTTTCAACAAGACGGTGTCACATGCCACACAGCACGTGTAACAATGGACTTATTGAGAGGCGAGTTCGATGAGTATTTTATTTCACGTTCGGGAGCGGTCAATCGGCCGCCTAGATCGTGCGATTTAACGCCTTTAGACAATTTTTTGTGGAGCTATGTCAAATCCAATATCTATACAGATAAGTCCGCTTCGATTGACATTTTTTAAGACAATATTGAAACATTTTTCGCGAGATACCGGCCGAAATGTTGGAAAGAGTATGCCATAATTGGATCATTTGAGGTGGAATAGGGTCAACATGTGCATGAAATAATCTTTAATCATTAAATTATATGGACTATACTATCGACTCAAATAAAAATTTCATGCATTTTTTGAATTTTATGTTTTTTCTTTTTGAAAAACTTTCCTATATATCTTAAAAAATCTCCCTTTGTATCTCTCACGTACGCTGAAGCGGTCTTCTTCCCATTAACTCAGCACGGTTTGGACAGCGCTTTTAAATTCATTTATTCTAGACGAACACAGATATGTTTACATATTCTTTCTCCTTCGGCAGGGCGTGGACAAACCAAAAACGTATGCTAAAAAATTTCCTTTATTGACGGTCTATACCAGTCTCTGAAGGCTCTATAACTGTCAGAAGGACCCTTCCTTTTTCCGTAAATATTTTTCTTGAATATATTCTCAGATCTTGAATAAATTCTTTAGTTTTCAAGGTTTTTGATAAAAAAAAATTGCTACGAGAAGATTTGGATTGATGAGAGCAACCAACTCCCTTGATGTATGTAACTCGACAGTATCGTAAAAGCTGTGTCTATACTAATTAAGTAGTTGGAGAAAATATATGAAAAATACCAATCACTTTCCATGCTTCTGAAATACTGTCTAAGGATATAG